CGTCGTCTCTCTCTCTCTCTCTCTCTCTCTCTCTCTCTCTCTCTCTCTCAAGCTGCTAAATGCTTGGTCTTCCGATCGCAGATGTGCTTGCTGAGGACAAGTCCGGTGTGAACGTGTACGTCAAGGGGAAGAGCGGTGGCACCACCGTCAACGTCGGCCATGGCGGTGTTCATGTGGGCACCGGGAAGCCCGGCGGGGGCGGCACCAACGTGAACGTCGGGCATGGCGGCGTCCACGTGAACACTGGCCACAAGGGAAAGCCGCGGGTGGCCGTCACTGTGCCCTCCAGTAAAGATTTTATTTACAATTATGCTGCCACCGAGACCCAAATCCATGACGACCCCAACGTCGCACTCTTCTTCCTGGAGGAGGAGCTTCGGTCAGGCGCCAAAATGAATCTACACTTCACGAAGACCACCTCGGGCGGCGCTTCTTTCCTCACTCAGAAAGAAGCAGACGCCATCCCCTTCTCATCAGCCAAGCTACCGGAGATTCTTGACCACTTCTCCGTCAAACCCGGTTCGGCGGAAGCCGAGGCGCTGAAGACGACGCTTCAGGAGTGCGAGGAACCGGCGGTGAAGGGAGAGAGGAAGTACTGCGCCACCTCGCTGGAGTCCATGGTGGAGTTCAGCATGTCGAGCCTGGGGACACGCGACGTCACGGCTGTGTCGACCACCGTCGCCAAAGCGGTGACGCCGCGGCAGCAGTACACGGTCACGGGGGTGAAGGCGCTGGTCGGGGACAGGCTGGTGGCTTGCCACCCGGAGGCGTACGCGTACGCGGTGTTCTACTGCCACGCCACGGCGACGAGCAAGGCGTACACGGTAGGGCTGCTGGGGGTAGACGGCGTGGGGGCGGAGGCGGTGGCAGTGTGCCACACCGACACCAGGGCGTGGAACCCCAACCACGTGGCCTTCAAGGTGCTCAAGGTGAAGCCGGGATCGGTGCCGGTGTGCCACTTCCTGCCGGAGGACCACGTCGTGTGGAGCCGCAGCGGCTGAAGCATTGCAGTGCGTGCACGTGACCATTAATGGAGCTTATACATAGCCTCTGTAGCCTCTGTACTACGTAGTGGATTCACGTATCGAGTTGCTTGTGTATTTGGCTGCTATTACTTTATGATGTTGCATACGTACCCTGTAATCCTCGATATATAATAATAATAGCAGTGTTTGGAGCTCCACTTGATACACGTGTCGAGGATAACGAACCGCATTTAATTTGCGGTTCACAGCAACCGACTCACAAGCTTTGGTCCAACAGACCGAATTAACGAATAACTAACCTGCATATATTTAGAATTCAAATTTTTGATGGACCATGGAGCCACGGCTCGACCCATGGACCGGGGCCAGCTTGCCCGGTCCAACCGGTTCAATAAATTACGTTTTGGGTTGGGCTGTGAACGGAGCGGATCCGAATCATATAAGGGTCCATTGATAAGGTTTGTGGCATCGATATGTGGGTCCCGTCCTCGATTTATCACTCAACGAACACGAATTTTGATCTCTCTCTCATTAAAGAGAAGTGAAAGGAAGAATAGTTTGACCGCTAAATGGATCTTTGAGCGTGGTGGAAGTGCGGAGTCCCCTACTGTTACTGCACGTGTATGTGTAGTGTGTGAGACTGTACTATCTTTTCCCCTAAAGCTGAACGCCCACCACATAGCAACGAGCGGTGCACTTTTGACGGACAGGTATATGGATTGGATAAAGGCAGCGTCACATCAAGTTGTAGAGAGCGAGAGAGAGGTTTGGATGGAAGAATGAGTTGCAAAGCTGTAGAAGATGATGTGATCAGAACAAGAACATGGTGGGTCATGCTGAGCATCATCAAGCTTTCCCAACCATGAACATGTCGAAGCAGGAATGTGGAGACAGTTGCCGCTCGATGAGGGGTGAGGCAGAAACAGGTAGGAAGAGAATTAGAGGGGTTTTGATCTCTCGAGCTATCATATGACGGTGGAGTGATAGGAACAGCATGCAGAATGTTGTGGCGTACACGTTGATGAGATGTATACTTGTGCGGCCGGGAGAGAACGGCCCCGCCATGGCCGCCGTCTCACGTACGTGTTTCTCGCCATCAGCTGCTCCGGCGCATGCGCCATGAATGGAGGCGTGGAAGTGTGTGCGTCGGTGCCCATCTCCTTTAGAATTCTCGCGGAGGGACGCGGTTTTAGGCGAAGAGATGGCCTTCTCCACGATAACGCGAGCAAGTGGATGACCAGAAAAGAGAGAGATGATGAAAAGCTCCATGGAAGTGGAGGTGGGCCACTTTGGATTGGCGCAACTCAGTGTCAAGGCAAATAGGTGAATGTCGACCTGAAAAATACTGTGAATGCATCAAATTTCTTGATCATATCACAAGCGGATAAGCTTAGGCTGCAAAGATGATTGACTTTACATAATACATGAAAGACGCCCTCTCTCTCTCGTTTGACTTTTGTTACAGAAGTCAAGTTGGCAGAGCCCAAAACCGATGGTGGGCTTTGCATCACCGGATTCTGGAGATCCATCGCCACTTCTCGCTCTCCTTATCGCCCCATCACTCCACCACCCGTGTCCGTGACCACCACCACCACCACCAGCAGCAGCAGCAGTATAAGTTCCCCCCGACTGCCCGACTCTATTTATATCCAAAGATCACATCATCTCTTCACAGAGTCAACGCCACCCACCTCTCCCCTCCTCTTCCCTCTGCTTGACGCTTTGGTTTCACGTTTCATGGATGACAACAACTGGGATCTGCACGCGGTGGTGAGAGGCTGTTCCGCCGGTGCTGTTGCGCCCGTGAACGATCCCTACTTCTCTTCCCTCTATCTGTCGAACGAGGATGACGTCGACGGAGAAATGGAACCCCTTCTTGGGTTCCCTGAGCTGATGGGCACGTCAAGCTATCTGTGTGAGCTGCAGCAGCTCTGCCAACCTTTCTATGCCATGGAACCCGACGACGAACCACTACAACAGCAGCAGCTCCCACCCCATTTGTCCCCTGCTGCGTCTCTTCTCCCTGCAGTGGCTTATCCCGGCCAGTCCCAGCAGCAGAGCAGCCAGTTCCCGCGAACGGTCTCCCAACCTTCCCGTTCCAAGAGAAGGTACTTTAGCCTTCGCACTCCTCTGCCTGTCTCGTTCCTCCTTTCCGATTCAAGCTTTGGAGAAAACGAATTGGTAACATGTGGAGATGTTGCATCTGCAGGAAGAATCAGCAGAAGAAAGTGGTGTGCCAAGTGCCAGCCGATGGCGTCCAATCCGATTTGTGGGCATGGCGAAAATATGGGCAGAAACCCATCAAAGGGTCCCCATATCCACGGTAAAGCTGCCAATGCCATTCTTTTCTCTTCGATTTCTACTTCCAAGGTGTAATTTTTGGACGAAGGTGTTGATCTTTGTGGTGGTGGAGAACAGGGGTTATTACAGGTGCAGCAGCTCCAAGGGATGCCAGGCTCGGAAGCAGGTGGAGCAGAGCAGCGCCGACCCGGGGATGTTGCTCATCACCTACACGGCGGAGCACAACCACCCCGTCCCCACCCATCGGAGCTCGCTCGCCGGGAGCACCCGTCAGAAGCTTCCCCAGCCTGCGGCCAAAGGCGGTGACCGTGACCAGCTGCCGTCGCCCAGCCACCCGTCCTCCTCGAGCCCACTACCGTCGCCGATTGCAGCCGCGGGGCTGTCGCCTAAGACCCCCCTCACAGGGGACGAGAGGAAAGGTGAGGAGGGCGAGGAAGAAGACGAGGAGTTACCGACGATGGGAAATGTCGACATGCTCGAAGAGGACAGCGCGCTGTTCTTAGGCATGGAAGTATTGGTGCAGCCCAGTACCACAGGAGCCACCGAAACGCCGGCCACGGCGACCCTCAGCTCCGGATACTTCGACGAGGGAAGCAGCTTCGAAGACCGTTTCTTCCGCTCGCCATGGCTTGCGATCACTGACGCCGCGATCTAATACGTCGAACACCTATCACATAATTTTGTTTACCGAAGAAGAGGATATGTATAATTCCATATAATCTCAATTTTGCACTACATTTCCTATCAGTAAACTCCCTTATCCTATCAGTAACCCCTTTGGTTTCTTCTTCCTATTCTTTCTTCTCTTCTTGCCCTTCCATCACCATGGTTCAATTGTTTCTGCAACAAGGTCAGTCGGATGTACATGATGCAGTTTAGTCTGCAGCTGACTGCTGCTTCTACTGCCACCAAACCAGTCTCACAAAGAAGCTCATGGTTGATTGAGCAAGCGAGATTCGTTCACCGCACAAAGAGATCCACAACCCAGGTGAAATGTGAATGCAAGACCTTTGAGAACTGTGTCAACATTGTTCTACAAGAAAAAGCTTAGTTTTAGGTGTAGAAGTCCTGCCTAGTCTCTGATATGTTATTGGCTATCCACAGATCAAGAAATAAAGTAATTGTAATGGATTGGGTGTCCATTACTTTTCTGATTTGGCAGTTGCCTGTACACCACCTCGGTAAAGCATTGCAGAATATTGAACTCTTTGTCGATCCTGTACTGGTGACACTAATGACATTCGTGCATGAGGTGGTGTGTATTGTTCTGGTTGGTTTCCTATGGTCTTGTACGCATTACACATTAAGAAGGTGAGGTTCCTTGCAGGAAATGTTTCAGTATCTCCAGGTAGGATAACTCTGTAGATCATGACGCATTCAAGTTGCATCCCGGTACATATCTGACCATTATTTCTGCCTGTCACGGAAATTACATATCTGAGATGACTTGGGAGCATCTTTGATTCGAGTTCACGTAGAACACCGTGAAGGAAGCATGATAACACTGTCCTAATCCATATTGCAGACAAGAAACTAACGCAGTAACGCAGGAATAGGAGGTGCTCAGAAGATGTCGGAGAGGGTGGGTAGCTTCATCTCGCCCTTGGTGGAGAGGGGGATGGTGAAGTCGCCGACGATGGGGAGGTCGATGGTGAGGCCGACCTGCAGCTCGTAGTCGATGTCCCAGTCCCGCCCGATGTCCCTCACCAAGCTTACCAGGAAGTTGTAGGGCACCTTCACCGGCACCTCCAGCTTCGTCACCACACTCGCCGGCAGCGACCCCGGGTCCGGCATCGTCCCCGACGCTACCACCCTGTTCATAGAATGCATGTGTCTATTACGAACAGCGCACTAGTTCGGGGGCAGAAGGAGAGATGCATGCATGGAGGAGGAAGCCGACCGGCCGGCGCTCTTGAGGGTGTAGGAGATCTCGCAGATGGGGAGGGAGTGGGAGTAGGGGTTGGAGACGGAGACGTCGCTGTGGAAGAGGGCCGAGTCGCGGCTCAGGCTCTTGACGGACACGCCCGTGAGGGAGGCTTCCGGCTTGGGAATCTGCGCGATCTTGCCCGCCACGAACTCCTTCGCCCTGTCAACCAAGCTCGACATGACTGCTCTGCTCGCTCGTTCCTGCCGCTCCTTCTCCTCTGCTACACAGCCAGCCTACCACGACGCCTGACGAACGAGGGGATGAAGCGAAGAAAAGGAGATGAAGCCCTGCAATTGGATCGGTCCGCAGGACCTCCTCCATCGTCGCGGCCGCAGGATGAGGCAACTTGTGGCACGTCGCTGGTTACGCGGCGGACGGTCATCGAACACGAATCACGAAGCGGCGACATCTTTTGTAAATAGCAACGACTAATTTACACGGGAAAATAATGCGATATTGCGAATGCATATTAAGTAATCTAAGAATAAAATTGATGCGTTTGGTTATTGTTGCAATTTACATCATGTTGATGTTAAATATCCGTATCATTTATCTTAATTATGTAAGTTTATATAACGTTTGGGAATGTTTACAAAATATATTTTGAATGATTTCCTAAAAACCCGCTTCGTGATTCGTGTTGATGACCGATGATTGCTTACTAATTGATCTCTTACTACCGTGTTTTCGAAGGGATTCCCGTTAAAAACTCTCTCT